AGCAGCAGGAGGAGCAGGAGCGTACGGAGCAGCGGCAGGCGCAGGGACTCGGGGCTCCTCCATCTTGAGTCACCTTCTCCTCCGTCTCTGCGGCGCGCGACCCTCCGCGGCGGGAAGGAGCCCTGGTTACCGTGGCAACGGCCGCAGCGGCGGGAAACGCTCAGGGAAAAGAAGACGGTCCGCCATTTTAGAACAAACTATTTACATATTTAAACTATTATGTGTGTACAACAAAACAATTACACCTCTATTAAAATATATATATATATATTTACATATTTAAACTATTATGTGTGTACAACAAAACAATTACACCTCTATTAAAATATATATATATATTTACATATTTAAACTATTATGTGTGTACAACAGAACAATTACACCTCTATTAAAAAAAAATTATATATTTACATATTTAAACTATTATGTGAGTACAACAAAACAATTACACTTCTATTAAAAAAAATATATATTTACATATTTAAACTATTATGTGTGTACAACAGAACAATTACACCTCTATTAAAATATATATATATATTTTACATATTTAAACTATTATGTGTGTACAACAGAACAATTACACCTCTATTAAAATATATATATATATTTACATATTTAAACTATTATGTGTGTACAAACAAAACAATTACACTTCTATTAAAAAATATATATATTTTACATATTTAAACTATTATGTGTGTACAACAAAACAATTACACTTCTATTAAAAAATATATATATTTACATATTTAAACTATTATGTGTGTACAACAGAACAATTACACCTTTATTTAAAAAACAAAACAAAAACTATTTATATATTTAAACTATTATGTGTGTATAACAGAACAATTACACCTTTATTTTAAAAAAAACAAAACTATTTACATATTTAAACTATTATGTGTGTACAACAAAACAATTACACCTCTATTAAAAAAAAAAAAAAAAACTATTTATATATTTAAACTATTATGTGTGTACAACAGAACAATTACACCTCTATTAAAAATATATATATATATATTTACATATTTAAACTATTATGTGTGTACAACAGAACAATTACACCTCTATTTTAAAGAAACTATTCACACATTTAATCCAGTGTGTCCAGACGTCCCTGTTTTTCGGGACAGTCCCAGTCCTGAGCCTGTGTCCCCTGTCCCAGCAGATTCATACAAAACCACTGATTTGTCCCAGTTTATACAAGAAATGTCCCAAGTGTCTCTATTTAGGACCAGTCTGAGTTAAACCAGGACTAAACCAGGACTAAACAACAGTCAAACACAAATATATATATATATATATATATATATAAATATATATATATATATATATATTATATATATATATATATATATATACAAACAAAAGGGTCTGCATCAGGTGCTGGGGAACCAGGGCACCTTGATGAAAATGGGCTACTGGAACACGGCGGAAATGGGCGAGATGCGAGAACAAGGCTCTGTTGGAGCTACTACTACAGTAACCTAGGCAGAGGGGTTACATGAACAGGATGTGGGAGAAATGGTTATTACGATACCCACAGTCCAAGCTAACGGCCAAACAACTAGTAGCTCAGTGTTCCAACATCCACAAACGGCAACTGCATCACAACTAGAGATTGATGAGGTACAACACAAATGCCACGGCAAGGGGGAACCAGTGTGCCAGGTCAGAGGGGAGTTGACACCAACTCCCCAACCAGAGATTGGGTACGAAACCCCAATAAGTATCACGCTGAGCGAGGCAGCGACTGACCTGAAAAGATAAGATCATGGCCCGAATGAACACAAGGCAACCCCGATGCCGGTTACAGAGGCTAAGTGAAGTACCATCTGAAAGTCTCCTAGACGATGTGAATGCAGCACTGACAGTGATCCCTACCACAACAATCACTGAAACCAATGAGCTGATATACACTTCAGCAGCAGTGATCCTAGATGTGTTGGGCTATAAGAGCAACCATGGGAGCCATGCGATACAATACCCACCATGGCAAAGACGGTTAGAGGCTAAAATCAAGGAGGTGCGGAGAGAAGTGAGCCAACTGTCAGAGGCCCAGAAAGGTGCAATGAAAAAGCAAGTGCCCAAGAGGTACAACCAGTTGCCCATACCTGAAGCACTCGAAACTGCCAAACAAAGGCTCCAAGCCTTGGCCAGCCGCCTAAAGAGGTACACACGAGATAACGAGGCCAGACGAATAAACCGGCTGTTCGCAACACAACCGGCGAAAGTGTACGCTCAGTGGCAGGGTAATAACAGCAGAGCAGACCCACCAAGGCTGGAGACTGAGAGGTACTGGAAAGGCATATGGGAAAGGGAGGCATCACATAACACCGATGCACAGTGGCTGGTGGATCTGAGAGAAGATCAACCTCCCTGAACAGAATCCAGTCACCATCACAGTGGCAGACATCCAGGGAAGAGTCTCAGGTATGAAAAATTGGACCGCACCGGGCCCTGACATGATCCATGCGTACTGGCTAAAGAAGCTCACTGCCCTCCACGAGCGCCTGGCAGCACAAATGAACCAGCTGCTAAGGGATGGGACTCACCCTGAATGGTTAACCCAAGGGCGTACGATCCTGATCCTAAAGGATCCTTCAAAGGGTGCAGTCCCATCAAACTATCGGCCAATAACCTGTCTCTCCACAACATGGAAGCTCATGTCAGGCATCATTGCGGCTAAGATAAGTGGGCACATGAATCAATACATGAGTGCAGCACAGAAGGGTATCGGCAAAAACACCAGGGGAGCCAAACACCAACTCCTGGTTGACCGAACAGTCGCCCGTGACTGCAGAACCCGTAAGACCAACCTGTGCACTGCCTGGATTGATTACAAGAAAGCCTACGACTCAATGCCACACACATGGATCACTGAGTGCTTGAAGCTGTACAATATCAACAGGACTCTAAGGGCGTTCATTGCGAACTCGATGTGGTTGTGGAAAACCACCCTTGAAGCCAAGGGGAAGCCACTTGCACATGTGTCCATCAAATGTGGCATGTACCAAGGAGACTCACTGTCCCCACTACTGTTCTGCATAGGCCTGAACCCTCTCAGCCAAATAATCGACCGCACTGGCTATGGATACCGAACTCAGAAACGGGGCCACCATCAGTCACCTCCTCTACATGGATGACATCAAGCTGTACGCTAAGAGTGAGCGAGACATCGACTCACTGATCCACACCACAAGGATCTACAGTACAGACATTGGGATGTCATTCGGGCTTGAGAAATGTAGCAGGATGGTGACAAAGAGAGGGAAGGTAGTCCACACAGAGGGGGTGTCACTCCCAGAGGGAACAATAGCAGACGTTGAGGACAGTTACAAGTACCTTGGTATCCCACAAGCAAGTGGCTCCTCGAAGAGGCAACAAGGAAAGCGGCTACGGCCAAATACCTGCAAAGAGTGAGGCAAGTCCTTAGAAGCCAGCTCAATGGCAAGAACAAGGTGCAGGCAATCAACAGCTACGCCCTGCCAGTGATCAGATACCCTGCAGGGATTGTAAGGTGGCCAAAGGAGGAGATACAGACCACAGATGTTAAGACACGAAAGCTCCTGACCTGCATGGAGGGTTCCATCCCAAATCCAGCACCCTGAGACTGTACGCAGGCCGGAAGGAAGGGGGCCGAGGACTAGTGAGTGTGGGAACCACTGTCCAGGATGAAACATCCAAGCTCCTTGAGTACATCAAGGACAAGGCCCCAGCAGATGAGGTGCTCAGAGAATGTCTCAGACAGTGGGGTCCAGAGGAAGAGGTGCTGGAGGGACCATCATGGCAGGACAAACCCCTACATGAACCACCAGAACAGAACTGAAGTGGCTGATATCAAGAAATCCTACCAATGGCTTGAGAGGGCTGGTCTGAAGGACAGCACAGAGGCACTGATCCTGGCTGCTCAGGAGCAGGCCCTGGGCACTCGAGCAATAGAGGCCCAGATCTACCACACCAGACAAGACCCACGGTGTAGACTGTGCAAAGAGGCTCCTGAGACAGTCCAGCACATAACTGCAGGGTGTAAGATGCTGGCAGGGAAACAAACATGGAGCGACAAAACCAAGTGATGGGCATAGTGTACAGAAACATGTGTGCAGAGTACGGGCTGGAGACCCCAGGATCAAGATGGGAAACACCTCCAAAGGTTGTGGAGAACGACCGAGCCAAGATCCTGTGGGACTTCAGATACAGACTGACAGGATGGTGATGGACCAACCAGACATAGTGGTGGTGGATAAGAAACAGAGCAGAGCCGTGGTGGTTGACATCGCAATACCAAGCGATGGTAATATCAGGAAAAAGGAACACGAGAAGCTAGAGAAATACCAGGGGCTCAAGGAAGAGCTGGAGAGAGCCTGGAAAGTAAAGGCATCAGTGGTGCCTGTGGTGATCGGACACTCGGGGCTGTAACCCCCAAACTGGAAGAAACTTCAACAGATCCAGGAAAAACAACGGAACATCTCAGTCCAGAAAAGCGCAGCACTGGGAACAGCAAAGATACTGCGCAGAACTCTCAAGCTCCCAGGACCTGGTAGACGACCCGAGCTGAATGAGGGTGAGAGACCAACCACCGTAGAAGGTGAGAAACACATTTTTAAAAAATATATATTATATTACAGTGTAGTTCCCACAGCTACATAACTCTAAACTCTCTAATAATCATGGAAACATAGAGCTGTACAGAGCTGAGCCCATAAGAACCTAAGTCAGAAACTGGAACTTTAATCGAGTTCAAAACAGTTTTTGTTACCGGACGTTGTAATGCAACATGAGCAGTATTACCACATCCTCATTTTGGGTGTGGTATTTCTAGTAAAACGAGAGTTCCTGTTGTGGTGGTTCATTCCTCCTCACTGCATCATGGCGTCTGGGTGTTTGTCCGAGGACCTGACCTGCTCCATCTGCCTGAGTCTGTTCACGGAGCCGGTCGTGCTGCCCTGTGGACACTCGTTCTGTCGGGACTGTATCACCATGTCTCTGGACAAACACTCCCACTGTCCACAGTGTCGCTCACCCGTGGACACAAAGACAAAAACCCTCAGCTCCAACCACGTGCTCAAGGGTCTGGTGGAGAGAGTCAAAGAGACGACCAAGCAGAAGCAAGAGTACCTCAAGGACAAGGAGGTGAGTGAACACAAGTCCTCCAAATGAAGCTCATGGAGGCCAGCACTTCTAACACGACTTAACATGTAACAATTCACTTGTTCTCGACAAACGAAGAGCTACTACGCAATTTTTAGGACGCGGGAGGATCTATTCATGTCAGCGGGGTGAAACAAAAACACACAAAAACGAAGTGCTTTCGGCCTATCCGGGTTTTATTGGTTTTGCCAGATATATGCAAGATTATTAACCATTAAACACCAAACACCACCCCGCGCTCGAGCGCACCCAGCTCCCAAAGTCCCCAACACAAAACCTTAATCCCAAATCACAGTCCATCCCGGTCCATCCCGGTCCATCCCGGTCCATCCCGGTCCATCCAAGTCCACCACCTTAACCGCAATCGCCCCAACAAGCTTTCGTTGTCCCCAAAAAGTTCCCCAAGTGTTTCCCCGCGCTGCGCGGCAGCGTGACGTGAGTCTGTAGAGTCTGAATGCGCCTCACGCCACAGTCCCGCCGCTCCCGTGGTACGATCCAACACGAATGGAAACGCAATAATCCCCAAAATGCAGCGATATTTTTCAATAGTGTGAGCTCCACGGCCCTGACAGCTCCTGACATGTGTCCAAGTCGGCGCGTGACGTCACTCCCTCTGCGTGTGACGTCACCACCTCCGAGTGGGTCCGTGCACACGTCCCTCTGCCCTTAAATCCCCGTGAGTCTGGAGAGGACGAAACAAACTGATACGACCTAAATAATAATGACACTTACATATAAAGGACCAGACACAATAGATAATAACAAATAAACATTTCACCCAAATGAATGAATAATAAGTGGTTTTACAAACACATGTCCAGATGTTTGCTCTAATGATCTTTGGTCTCTTCATCAGAGAGCTGAGTTCCTGTGCCCGGAACACGACGAGAAGATGAAGTTGTTCTGCATCACAGACCAACAGCTGATCTGTGTGATCTGCAGAGATTCTCACAAACACGAGAGACACACCTTCAAACCTGTGAGTGAAGCTGCTGCACTGGTGAAGAGCCAGCTGCAGGGTCTGGCCAAAAACATCTGTGAAGACACCAAAGCTCTGGAAACACTGGTCAAGAGTCAACAAAAAGAAATCCAGACGACCAAGCAGCGCTCCAAACAACTTCAGACACTCATCAGCTCCAGCTTTGAGAACATGTACACGTTTCTGCAGAAGAGAAAGAAGGAGCTCAAGGAGAAGGTGACGCATCAGGAGGAGGAAGCTCTGCAGAAGATGACCGAGCGTTTGGGTGAAGTAAAAGCAGCTAAAGCTGAGAATCAAAAGCTCCAGAAAACAGTGACCACAGCAATAAAGATCACAGATCCTGAAGGTTTTCTGAAGATGTGGTCTGGACAGAGTGAAGCCAAAGCAGCTCAAGGCTCCTTCAGGCACAAAAGTGGAAACTTCTATGTGGAGGAGAGAGAGGTGTCCCTGGGCCCGTACGAGAGCCACCTGCAGGTGTTTGTGTGGAAGGAGATGGTTCAGGTGCTGCAGCCTCGAGAAGAACATCTGTCTCTAAAATCTGACCAAACCAGTCTGTCTGTGTCTCAGGACAAGAGCGCAGCTGTATTCCATCAAACTAAGTATACAAATGCTACATCTTACTACTCAGGGTATAATAGAGGTTATGGAAGCCGAAACTCCTCTGCCCAACTCCACCCAGAGCACCAACACGTTTGCTGGGCAGCATTACTGGGAGGTTTATGTTGGAGCACAGAACATGTGGGAGCTGGGAGTGTCTGAAAAGTACTTAAAGTACAATTCTGATTACTGTCAGATCCACTCGTCAGGCTGCAACACTTCTCTAAATATTCAGGACAAACCTAAGAAAGTGGGACTTTACCTGGACTGTCCCCGAAGAGAGTTGTCCTTCTACAACGCCGACACCATGAAGCTCCTGCACACTGAGAGATTAACCTCCACTAAGTTCCCCGTGTCCGCGCACTTCGGTTTGGGAAACACACTCGACAGTCCTCTGGTGGTGTGCACATACGGAGCTCAGAGTAAACCTCTGCGAGATGGAGCGGAATGATTCTGTGTGTTGAGATGTTTGTTTGTTTGTTTGTTTGAGATTTTCATTTATGTTTTTTGTGGGTTTTTGTTTCTTGGAGAAGTTTGACCTTAAATCTCTGTCAGTTTTTAACCTCGTTATATTTGAATCTCGTTGGTGCAGCAGGAGTTTATCTTTGTGTCTCTGTTGTATCTGTGAGCACTTCTGGTCTCATGTTCTGATGATGATGATGATGATGATGATTCTGTGTCTGAAGTTTTTCTGCAAATAAATGTAAATCAAAAATCTTCACAGGAATTTGAGTTTGTGACATTTTTGCTCAATCTCCACATGA